CTAAGCTGGGGGCTTAGGAACAAGGACAATATTGGCCACCCACTCGGGATAGATCACCGGTCGGATGTGCTCGATCGCCGCCATCTTCTTAACTTCTTCTCTAACAAACTCGCGGCGATTGGAGGAAAGGTGCCGGGTTTTTTGCACGACCGGCTTTGCTGCGGGATCGACGGCTAACTTGTGGCAAATTACCGATCGGTCGATCCCGGGCATGTCTTCGAGCCCCCAGGCAAAGATATCGGCATACTCCCGGAGTATGGCCAAAATTTCCGCTCGGAGCTCGGGGGTGAGGGCCCGGCCAATCTTAATCTTCCTATCCGGTCGGTCCACGGATAGGGGAACTTCTTCTATCTCCTCGGAGGGCTCAGGTTGTTCCTTCCGATCCTTAGCCTCCTCCTTGGCTATGGTGTTCACCCGGGAAGACGGACCGGAGTCACGTCTGTTGACCGCTCGGGTGTAACACTTCCGGGTGGATTGGACGTCGCCGCGGACTACACCGACCCCATTGGGGGTGGGGAATTTCATGCACAAATGGGGCATGGAAATTATCCCACCGATCTTCATAATGGCGGGTCGGCCCAGGATAATGTTGTGGACGCAATGGAGGTTGACCACAACAAATTCCAGCTCCGTCTTGATCGACTTTGGAGGTGTGCCGATCTCAACTGGGAGCGTTATCTTTCCCTCGGGGTAAATAAGAGCCCCGGTAAAACCCGACAGTGGTACACCGACCAGAGTCAGCTCCTTCCTGTCAAGGCCAAGTTTCTCAAACACGTCCAAATAAAGGACGTTCACACTGCTGCCAGTGTCGACCATAACCCTCTGGACATCCGTCCCTTTCACATCAATTGTGACCACGAGCGCCTCCATGCCATGGTCACCACTGCTGGGTTGATCTTCAAGGGTGAAGGTTATGGGCTCCATCTTTTGCCTCTTCCCGGTCTCCCGGGAATCCACTACGGCGACCGGGCAATTACTCCGCGGTCGGGAAGCGTCTTCCAATCCACCGAAAATAACGTGGATGGTCAGCTTTCCTGCTGATCGGCTGCTAGACGGAGGGTCAGGGTCCCGTCGGTCATCACGACGATCATCTCTTCGATCGTCTCTTCGGTCCTGACCTGACCGATCAGAGCGTCCCTCGCGATCGGAACGATCGGAACGATGATAGGAGTGCCGGTGATCTCTCCGATCGGTATTCCTCTTGGGGTCTTCTCTCCTCCCCACACACTTGTCCAACTTCCCAAGATTGAGCAAGTCCTCTAACAGTTGGCGCAAGTGGGTACACTCTTCAGTGTCATGCCCGGCACATCGGTGGTAAGCGCAATGCTTACTCTTGTCGGGGCCGTCTCGATCGGGATGGGGGAGTTTGATGAGATTGCAGGACTGAGCGTACTGCATGGCCTCCGCTGCGGATCGGTTCAAGGCCGTAAACTCACCAGGCCTGGTGCGGGATCGGGGATGGTCATCACCCGACCGATGTTCCGCCCGGCCGGCCGGTTTACGGGACGAAGACCCGACCTCCTGCGAGCGCTTTACGGCATTCGCCTCGCCGGCGTTGGCATAATCTGTGACCCTTCGAAGAGCTTCCTCATAAGTGGCCGGGGGGTGTAGGATGAAATCTTGATATAAATATCCCGCCCGGAGAGAGATGTGAAGCATATGGGTGGCGGTCGCATCGTCCATGGGCTCGACCTCCCCGACCGCCGCCTTCCACTTGATGAGGAAGTCGGTCAAGCTCTCGCCTTCAAGTTGCTTGGCCTTCTCCAGATACATATAGGGCTTCCTCACCACTTTGGAAGTGATGAACTTCCTCACAAACTTGATCGCCAAGGTGTCAAACTTGTCGATCGAGCCCGGCTGCAAGGTTCGGAACCATTCCGCCGCCCGGCCGGTGAGCGTGGAATAAAAAGCCCTACACATTACGGCGTCTGACACGTCCTTCAGCATCATATTGCTGTAAAAGTCATTAACATGGGCCTCAAGGTCCGTCCGGCCATCATAACTTTTCTCTCCCGAGACCTTTAAATCGAGCGGGTAGGGCTGAGCCATCACTGCCGCTGTAAAAGGCGTCTGGTGCAAGGTCGATTGGTCGACCGGGGGTGTTGCAGGGTGCGCGTTTTGAAATTGCGCAAACTCCGCCTGGAGGTTGTAGAGCAATCCTCGGGTCTCGTTGAGCTCGGCGGCTTGGGCAGCTTGGGCTGTATCCCGAGCGCGTCGCCGTCGGTGAGATCTCGACCCGCTATACCCGGATGAAGCCTCCTGGCTGGCTTCCTGCATCTGCACGTCTTCCGGCTGACGGTTCGGGTCTTGGGGCCCCAAACGCTGCCGCATCTCTGTTCGAAGACGATCAAAAGCTGCCGCTCGGGCAACTTCTTCGGGGTCCTCTGCTCGGGCGGGAACCTCGGCCGCTTGCTGGGCCTGCCATGGTGCCTCCATCGCATCAGCACCCCCCGACCCCAACCGCGAACGAGCCGAGCGTCGAGCCCGGGAAGCGGACTGACGCTGCGGCTCTACCTGTGCGGTCGGGTAAACTGGAGGGGCGGCGGTTGGAGCCGTGTACGCAGGCGTATATGGTGGATATCCAACCGGGGGAGTGTAGTACATCGGTTGGCCAGGCCAGTACCCATACGGCGGAGGTGGGAGCTGGTACGGATACTGACCGGGATACATCACCGGCTGTTGTTGATGCGGCTGACCGGGTGTTGGGTATCTCGGTTGAATGTAGTTCACCGGCTGTTGGGCAGCCGGGTATGTGTTGGATGGATGTGGTGGTGACAGATTAAGGTTTAAGTCCACCGTCTGACCTTGCTGTTGGGTAGCGTGGTGATCGGATGAACTTGCTGCATCCACCTGATCGTCGGTGAAATTGTTGTATGCCCACGAATATATTGTTGCAAAGGAACCGAGTGCTCGTCAAGACGTTGCTTTCTTGCACGATTCCCCACGGACGGCGACAAAATGATACTGCTAATTCTACGTAAGCAATAATAAAACGAACCCGAGACCAATTAAAGCAAGTAAATATCTTTATTGATCACGGTAGAGGCCCTAAGTACAATCTACTTGGTTGCTCTGAGTGCCGGCTGACTGCGGTCGGGGTTCTCTAATAACAACCTATCGATCGTCCAAAAGTCCTCTACACTGTAGCTACTGTGGGTATTTATAGCCGCTGCGCCGGAGACACAAATCCGGTCGTTCGGCATGCTCTCCACGTAGCCACCACGTGTCATCCTCCCGGGTGCCCTATCTGTCGCCACTATTGTGTGTTTCAATGGAAACGGTTTGCACGTTGTCAAGCTTATTTGTTGTAACTGCGAGTTCAGCTTCAAGTTTGTTGATTCGGCTTTCTTGATCTTGAATCGCCTTGATTTGTCGCAAGTGACGTTCATTGTGAATCTTTTCAGCTGCTTCACGCTCCTTCTTCATGAGCTGAATGACTTCAAGTAAGCCTTTCATCACTTCTCCTTTCAAGATTCTTTCTGCTTTGTCAATCTGGGTCTTCAAAATATTTTGATGCTCCATTAACTCCTTCAGATTGACTCGTACATCCGTGTGTTGTTGATCTAGCTTTTGGTTTTGTTCAACCAATTTTTCTCCAATAGTTTGACAAACAACATCACTGGATTCGGCCACTTTGGCAAATAAGGATGAAAATATGTCATCTTCTTGTTCATTCATCTGCACAAAGTTTTGAGGGGATCCGAATGGACTTTTATTCGGATCTGTGAGAATAACTGTGTCAATAAGTTGCATCCCTTCTTCTTCAGGTGATTCGACTTCTTGATTGAGATCACCAATTTCTTCTTCTAAAACCTCTGTTCTCGTGTAGTTCTCTGTAAATAAATCTTCATTTTCTAGAACAGGGTCCATGGTAGGCATGGTAGACTCGGTATGGTGTACCGGCAATACACTGGATAAATCCTCTGTGATTTGTTGTCTATTCTTAGTAGCAACTTCTACTGCAACTTCCACTGGTATATCTCTTCTTCTTTCTTCTGACACTTGTTCTCTTACTTCTTCTCGTACTAACACTTCTCTTAATTCTTTTCTTCTTTTATCCCTTTTGTAGCCATAAAATATATTTTTTTTATTTAAAAATTCCTTTTTATTTTATTTTTATTCATATAATTTTTTATGTCTTTTTGGCTACGAAACTTTTGATCTTTTTATATACGTAGGGATTTTTCATTTTGCAGGAGAGAGAGAGACAGAGAGAAAATAGAGATAGACAAAAGCACAAAATAACCATAATTTTATTTATCTCCTTCTTACAGAGAAGGAGAGAGAGAGAGAGAGATAGCATACCATTTCTTCAACAGGCAGAGAAACCCGTACTCATGCAGTCTTCTGAGTCATAGCCTCCTGGTGGTGAAGGAGCATATCCCGGTCCTGAGTCACCACTTGACTCACTTTCCTCGAACATCGACCCGTTTGAGCTTGAAGATGAATAGGTTTGATTAAAAAACCTAGTAAAGTCCACTCGAGGACGGATGAACGGGTTGAGTGGCATCGGCTGAGGAGGCGGTGGAGGAGCAGGGATTTCTTGTGGCAGAGGTGCAAGAACTGGCAGACTTGGTGGAAAGTTCGGGAGAGGCTCTGGTGGAGGTGGAGGTTGATAGAGCCCATCAAAACCGAAACCGGGAGGAGGTAGAACCAGTCCAAAAGTCAGTTGTTTTAAATACTGAAGATATTCTGAATTGCTCATATTCAGAATTTCAGCATACATATCAGGTTGAACAACTGGAGAGAATTTCATGAATGGAGGCTCAGACCCTTCCACTCGGTCTTGTTCTGCCAATGGTTTCTTGGCACCATCATCTTCTTCATAGATAAAGCCCGGTTCACGCGGTGGTGATTCTGCTACAGCTTGAATTTTTTGGTGACTCATTTTCTTGCTCCCTTTCATCAGATATTAACACCAGAGGGTTGCTTGGTGTTTCTCTTGCCATTTTTCGTCTGTCCGTGCGTGTTGCCCTTCGGGGTTGTTTGAGAACTTTCTCCTAGGTTCTCTGATTTTGCTTCCTTATCTCGTTTTCTTGAGACTCGCTGGACACCATCTTGCACCTGCAAAAATTCAAACAACAAAATCTTCCACAACAGGTATGTCTCGGCTGTCTCCCAATATATAGGGCGATCGGGAAGACTTATCGGTTCACTTGCCGATGGAGAGTAAATATTGTTTGCCGTCGTTTAGAGTTTACGGGATGTGACGGATAGCGGCAAGGCTTCTCATTGGCTGAGATGGAGGTGGATGGGAAGAGATTTGATGGGCAACGGTTTAGAGGGAAGAGTTTAATGAGGGGTTTAATTGCTATGTGGGAGTCGATTGAGATTATTTAGCTGAGAGGAGGTATGGGCATGCCGATTTGAGAGAGAAAATGAATCAGTTTGGAAAGATTTGATCTAGGAGAGGATTATGGGGGGAGGTTTAGGTTGGGTGGAGGTTTAGAAAGGGTAGGAGTTTATGGGTGGAGGTTTGATGCCCAATTAAGCTCTAATTTTCCTCCTTTGTCTCCTGATTTCCTTCTCAAAATCGTGTACCACAAACATAATATCACTCAAACATCTCGTTAGTAGCAAAAATTATTCCTCAAATAATTAATCACACATACCAAAATGTTAAACACATATACACGGCATTCCTAATTAAAATACATATAATTTGGAAATTAACACAATTAACACACATATTCCTAATTTATAATTAGAAACAACTTTATATAAAACATATTAATCAGATTCCAAAATATTTTAGAAACTAACAAAAATACTAATTTCTAGATTTCTAAAACATTTTATAGCAATTTATATCACATATACTGCATATATACGAAACACACATACAAATAACATATTAAATCACATTTTGCACATAGCACATATATATTATCTAATAAACATGGTAAATCATTTTTAGAGCAAATTGTTCATGCAAACAAGTTAGTTAATTTACAGAAACATGAACACATACTCAAAAACTGATTAACACATTAAAACATGCAATTTTATACAAATTATCAAATAAATCACGAATTGCACATTGTATCAAATTAATTTGCATGGCATATGATTTCACATTAAATAACACATGCAAATACACAAATAGATTCCTAACACATGTTGCAATTTTATCACATAAAAATTTCGAATAAAAACATGCATAGAAACACATAAAACAATTTATCCACGTAAAACAGTTAATTTTGAGCACAAGTATCAATTTAAATAGAGAGATTAAGTTCAGTGATACTTAGCTCATTTCGATCATTCCCAACTCGTGCCTTAAGGTAGAAAATCTCGTTTCGCATAAAGGCTTCGTGAGAATATCAGCAACTTGGTTTTCCGTAGGGATATATTCGATCTTCAGATTTTTCTTTTCAACGTGATCCCTTATAAAATGATGTCGAATGTCGATATGTTTGGTTCTTGAGTGAAGCACCGGATTGTGAGTGATAGCGATTGCACTAGTATTATCACAATAAATACTAACGTCATCACAATTAACTCCGTAATCCTTCAATTGTTGCTTCATCCACAAAATTTGCGCACAACAACTTCCTGCAGCAATATATTCGGCCTCGGCGGTACTAGTTGCGATGGAATTTTGCTTTTTGCTGAACCAAGAAACAAGCCTTCCCCCCAAGAACTGGCATGTCCCGGAAGTGCTTTTTCTGTCTATTTTGCAACCTGCAAAATCCGCATCTGAAAAACCTGTTAGAGTAAAATCTGTACCTTTTGGATACCACAATCCAACATTGATTGTGCCTTTCAGATATCGTATGATCTTCTTTGTTGCAGTGAGGTGGCTTTCTTTTGGATTTGCTTGGAATCTTGCACACACGCCCACAGCATAAGAAATGTCCGGCCTGCTTGCAGTAAGATATAGAAGTGAACCAATCATTCCTCTATATTTTGTTTGATCGACATCCTTTCCATCTTCATCTTTGTCTAGCCTTATTGATGTGCTCATTGGAATTTTGATCGATGATTTTCCATCAAGGCCAAACTTCTTTATCAAGTCGCGGGTGTACTTTGCTTGATTGATGAATACTCCTTCTTTCAGTTGTTTGACTTGTAAGCCCAAGAAGTAATTCAATTCACCCATCATGCTCATTTCGAATTTATTCTGCATAAGCTTTGAAAATTTCTCACACAAAGAATTGTTAGTGCTTCCAAAAATAATATCATCAACATATATTTGCACTAATAAAATATGATCACCATCTTGAATTCTAAATAGAGTTTTGTCAACAAGGCCTTTGGTGAATCCACAGCTTATCAAGAACATTGACAAAGTATCATACCAAGCTCTAGGTGCTTGTTTCAACCCATACAATACCTTTTTAAGTTTGTAGACTTTATCACCTTCGCCTTTTACCTCAAAACCTGGGGGTTGTTCGACATAAACTTCTTCTTCGAGTAGACCATTCAAGAATGCACTTTTCACGTCCATTTGATAAACGGTGAAATCTTTGTGTGCGGCGTAGGCTAGGAAAATTCTGATTGCTTCAAGTCGGGCCACCGGTGCAAAGGTTTCATCAAAATCTATTCCTTCTTCTTGAGAGTATCCTTTTGCAACGAGCCTTGCTTTATTCCTAACAATCACGCCTTCTTCGTTTGCTTTGTTCCGGAAGACCCATTTGGTTCCTACAACGTTGTGGTTCGGCGGTCTTGGAACAAGTTCCCAAACATCATTTCTTTTGAATTGATTGAGCTCCTCTTGCATAGCATTTATCCAATCCGGATCATTGAGAGCTTCGTCAATTTCTTTTGGTTCAATCTGAGATAGATAACACGTGAACAATGCTTCCATGGTAGATGATCTTGTTTTCACGCCTTCATGAATATTCCCAATAATTAATTCTGAAGGGTGATTTTTGAGCCATCTTAAATCTGGTTGAAATGGGTGCTTGGTACTGGGTGGATCCATTTGTTTTGAATTTGCAGTGTTGGTTCGAATTTCATCAATTAAATTGTCTTGAAATTGATTACCAACATCACATGCAATTTGATCATTAATTGGATCACCAACTTGTACTGCATTTCCATTCCCACGTGAGGCATCACTCCCAAAATTATTATTTAAAGAATTTCCAACTTCTTCTGGGTGAGGGATGGGATTTTCTAGAGAATTAATTTCCAACTCATCCATTCCCTGCAAAACATCATCTTCACACGTATCATTAGTTTCACAAAAATCAATATGACACTTGTTACCATTTTGTGCAATTTCTTCGTCCAGTGCATCATTCTTGATCTGTGATTTTTCATCAAATACCACGTGTATGGATTCTTCAACCACCATTGATCTTTTATTCAGAACTCTGTATGCCTTGCTGGTAGCTGAATATCCTAGAAAAATTCCTTCATCTGTACGCTCATCAAAAGCTTTTAGATGCAATTTATCATTAATATGAATAAAACATTTGCATCCAAAAATATGAAAATAACCAATATTTGGTTTTCTCCCTTTATATAGCTCGTATGGCGTCTTCTTGTACTGCTTATGGATCATGCTTCGATTTTGTGTGTAACAAGCAGTGTTGATAGCTTCCGCCCAATAGCGTTTCGGGAGACCGGCAGCACTAATCATCACTCGTGCGGCTTCTTTGAGCGTCTGGTTTCTTCTTTCGGCAACACCGTTTTGTTGCGGTGTTCTTGCGGCAGATAATTGATGAGAAATTCCATGTGAATTGCAAAAAGCTTGTATAACTCCATTCACGAACTCGGTTCCGCGATCCGTTCGTATTTTTGATATTTGCAATTCTTTCTCATTTTGTAGTTGCTTCAACAGCTTCGGTAGAACTTGCTCAACTTCATTTTTCTTCTTGAGAAACACGGTCCAAGTGTACCTGGAAAAATCATCAACAACAACGAGAGTATATTTCTTACCACTTACACTTATTGGATCAACTGGTCCAAATAAGTCCATATGTAGTAAGCTTAGCGGTCTTGACGTTGACTCGTGTGTCTTTGATTTGAATGATGATTTGATTTGCTTTCCGCGTTGGCATGCATCACACACTTGGTCCTTCTTGAAGATAATATCTGGCAAGCCTTCTACTAGATTCTTCTTTGCAAGCTGATTGATAGTCTTGAAGTTTAAGTGGTTGAGCTTTCTGTGCCATTCCCAATTAGCTTCATTCGAATTTCTGGCCATTAAGCACACTGAATCTTTGCTTGTGCTCCAATCCACAATATACATGTTCTTTCGCCGTTTTCCAGATAAAATAATCTCATTTGTGAGCTCATTTTTGATTAGGCAATTATCTTTAGAAAATTCTACAAGATAGCCTTTATCACAAAATTGACTAGTGCTCAACAAATTAAATTTTAATCCTTCAACGAAAGAAACATCTTCAATCTTCAAACCATTTTTCTTGATCGTGCCAACTCCTTTTGTAATTCCATAATTTTGATTTCCTCCGAATATAACTTTTGGTCCATCGATTTCTTTGAAATTAACTAGATATGATTTATTTCTAGTCATGTGGCGTGAGCAACCACTATCGATGTACCAAACATCCTGCAAAAAAGATTAATTAATTTTAGGTACCCATACTTGCTTGGGTCCTTTACTGTTAGTGATTTTTGGTAACCAAACCCACCTTGATCATTTTGAATTAAGATGAGGCGATTTGTAACCATTTGAGACACGATAATCATAACTCACTTTAGAAAATATTTTTGGCGCCGGGTTTTGAAAATTATTTTTATATTTTGGCACCTGGGAAGAGAATGGTTGTTTTGATCTATAAAAAGTATTACATCTATTGCACAACCAATCTTTTTGAGTTGGATGAAATTTCCCAACTTTATTTCTAGAAAAGCTTCCCTCTTTTCTATGAAATCTTTTTGCACTTGACTCTTTGGCATATCTTTGCTTGTAGAATTTTTGTTGCTTTGCCGTAATATAAACTTGTTTCGGCCTTTCAACATTCAACTTTGCGTTTGATTGATAGCCAAGTCCTTGTCTCATCGTGCTATTCTGACTTTTAACAAATTTTACCACTTGAACTTTATTATTTAAAGTAGTAGTAGAATTAGTCAGATTTTGAGGGGTT